AACAAAATTGGTAAGATTGGTGATTTGCAAACTAAAATTCAACCGATGTAATAATATCATCTTTGTAGGAACCTTCTGCAAAAGGAACGAATGGCTTCCAGAAGGGCATCCCGTAACGATGATGGTGAGGATGTAGACAAGGAGGATGGCAATGAGAACGAAGACCCGATGGCGGATCAACTCGATGACCCGTTATTCGAAGACGTTCAGGTTCTCGACTATGACTGGAGCGACCCCGACAGTGATCCAAGCCATGAGCAGCCTGATGCACCTGAGCACGTAACTCAGCCGAAAGGAAACAAATCTCCAGCGTTGTTCAACTGTCGACTGCTGGTGTTTCTGTGTGAATTTAAAGGTCAGTCCTCCGGAGCTCATATTGCGCACTGGAATGTAGATGGAAAGTCGCTCAATGACTTTAAGACGAAATTATGGGAGCTATGCAGACCACATCTACTTCGAGAAGTAATTTTTAATCAGCAAGACGATGGAAGCACGGTGCCAGCATGGATGGATAAGGATTCTCCGGAAGAAGAAGATTTGGTGAGGTTTGCCATTTTTTACGAGAAGCAAAATCGTAAGTACACTTCGCTGGACAAACTGACCACCACGTTGCTTCAGAACTGGAAAGGAAAAGAAATTCAGCTGCTGTTGCATGTTTATTCACTGTCCGTAAGTTCCCGTAAGATTTTCAATTCAGTGAAGCAACATTTGATTGACCCATCTGAGCGCGATAAGGCAGGAGCAGCCTCAACCCAAGTGGTCGTCGATTTATCTAAGGATTTGCGTCAACGACATGGTCATCTTTGGGATGGACACGAAATGGCATGGACAATGTGGGCATCAGCCATACTTGCTTCGCCAGCTCATACGCGTGAGAACATGATTAATTCAGTTCCTCCAAAGCATCTGCAACATCTTTTCAGAACACAGGACGGTCCGAAAATTGAAAGTGTGAAGCGTGGGTTGGCTGTAGCTCACAATGTAAATGCGTCGTTTTGTGAAGAGATCACAGCGCTGAAGGAAGCGTTTTCCTCACTTGAGGTGGTAGCCAAGAATATGCAGCTACAACTTTCATTCGTGAAGCATCGCATCGAAGCATTGGAGCAGCGTGGACGCATAAGTGATTCATTCATAAGTGCGATGGAAACTTCAATGGAAGTTTCCGAAGGAGAGTTCTGTCGACATATTGCTGGACAGGTAGTTGACATGGAGGATGTAGACCACGAATAAGCCAACTTGCAAATGAGTTGAGATAACTTGTTTTAATGAATAAAGACAAATACATTGTTTTACTATATTTTCTATTTTATTGGTTTTCAAATACGAAAGATCAAAGAAATTAGAACTTTTCTGCATTGATTATGTTTCATTCGTCTGTTTCAATATTCTTGAAATTAGACACATCTGCAACCGAAGGATCAAATTTTCCTCCTCTCAGGTAACCACACTTCCTGAATAAGTTAGACATGTTATAAGTTCTAAAGGTAGCCATCACTTCAGCTACTACTGGTTTAATTCCTTTCTTTACACATTCCTGATAGATAGCTTGAGTTTGTCGCTTGCATAATCCGAAAACGACTTCAATAGGGTTATAGAAGGGGCAATACGCAGGTAGAAAGATAGGGAATATTCCAATTGATCGAAGATATTCTATGATTTTCGCACTGCAGTGAATTTTCGCTCCATCCAATATCCATATGGAATGTCTACCCGGATAGCACTGAACATGGCCCGTTTCCAGAGCAAATCGTCGGCAGCATTCAAAAAAGTTTAGTCGGTTGAATGTTCCGTTGGTAGAGAAGGCTTCAAGCATTCCGTTTTGCCCAATGAAACAAAGCAAGGATTCCCTAGGCTTCCGCACAAATTCTCCTCGAAACACTAAGCGGTGGCCTCGAACTCCTTATCCCCTGGAGCGTAACATGGATCTGTTATCGAAACTAACCTCGTCTAAAAAGACGAGGTTGTGGTAGTCCCACTGAATGCACGAAATTTCGTTGAAAAAACTTGATTTGAATTGCACAACGTTCCAAACATTTCCAGGTCAAACCAGCGTTATGTATGATGCGCCAAATGGATGAAATAGATATTGTCGTCTTGAACTCCTGCTGGAACCGCTTTCTAGATTCATGTAGATAAAGCGTAGGATTTTGTAGATACAGGTTTATCAACCATTCTCGTTTTTCGGGAGAGAATTTCACAGCATCCCTTTCGTAACTTCGGCGAGAATAGAATCCGTCCTCCTCGTATCGCATGATCCAATTTGTGATTGTGGACTTGTGTTTGTGATTAATTGTTGCTAGCCTCGATTTGGACATTCCAAGGAAATAATATCCATATAAAACATGATATATGGTATTCACTGACGCTCTCTGATCTTTCACAACGGAAATAATAGATGCCATTTTACGCAATAGTATTTATGAAATAGTTACGTTTTTAGTTGAACATCGATGTTAACTGACGTTTCTTTTATTTACAAAATTTAATGATTTTAAGACACATGACGTAAATAGGGAAATGTGGTAGCTTTTGACATTTGAACCATCTACGAGCTCCCTCAATTTCGTCTCTATAGTCTAAATATTCGTGAAAGACACAATACATTCAACGTAAAATATATATATATTTGAGTTACCTTTTATTTAGCTGGTTCGAAAGCGAGTTCGAAAGTATCATTATTTGAGTTTTGAAAGCCAGTTCGAAAGTATTATTATTGTATTATTTGTGCTGCGCGAGCAAAATTTTGACACGCTGCTCCTCTTGCTTGGACGTCATTTTGAAAACTGGATAGCAAACGGTGAAAACTCATCATAGCACTCGTCATAGCAACCAATGTATATACATTCAACTTCCAAAAGCAGAATTTCAGGTTTTTCTTTATGCATTTTTAACAAAAATACACCAATTTTAAGGTGACCAATTTTTGCGCGTTGCAGACTTTATATCAGGGCCGCTTGGATGTGTCGGTCTCAGGGCACCGAAATTTACATTACTTTTTCGTAAATTGCTTCTTCAAGCTTGCCCGTCGCTGCGCTCCTCTAACTAAAAAACATGGGTAGGGAAATAAACCTAAGTAGCAACGTACTAATTGAGCGGTTTCCAAAGGTTTAGGGAGCATTTGCGCTTTCGAAATGATACAAAAGATAGCTGCTGACAAAATGTGTTTCTATAAAGGCCAAATGATTCAATAAACTAAATTAAAAAATGTGAGAAATTGATCATAAAATAGTTTTAGACTTTTTAGGTAAAAAATACAGCTCTTGAGAAAACCCAAATTCCGAATTCTGAAACCCTCGTCTAGGGTGACAATTAATAACCCACCCTTTTAACGTGTTTGCCTTTTCTGTTATGATTTGTTTTTGTTTTGGTCACATGCTCGGCAACATTCTCACCACTGCTTTATTTGTAAATATTTTAATTCGTTGTTTTCTTAGTAGATATTATTCGTGTAGGCATGTTTTTAGGATTAGAATGTAGTGTAAAAATTATCGTTTTAAATTGTCTCGCGTCTAGAATAACATTAGGTCCCGTTTCTCCTCCCGCTGTAAAAGAAGGCGAAAAACATAAGCAGCATGACAGTCGAGCGTGGTTGCAGGAGAACGATGGCGGTTTTGTGATTGTTCGTTATTGTCTATGATTGGGAGTACGAAAAAGGAGAAGTTACAATCCACGAAAGCAGTACGACGCGTTTTTGCTAGTACGTTGATTTTCCAGAAAAAAGGTGTCGGATCGCCGCCATTGGGGAAGTGTTTTTCGCTTCCCCGGCTAATCGCTAAGGATCCCCGAACACCACCGTCCTCACTGCGGTGGCTCAACCGAAGGAGCGTTCGCCTGGGTAGTGCACTGCGGGAACTACCGGGACCATCTACGGCGAGTAGTTGGTTCGGTGATTCGTCACCATCGTCGCAGGGGGGTTCCGATAAAAGTGCCTCGCTCATCCCCCCGGTAAAAATTAAGGAAGCTGCTAGGCAGCCAATAGTAAAGGAGAGGAGACGCTCGGCACAGTCCGTGTCTGGAGCCGAAGTGAAGCAGTACGAACATTAACCGTCGCCGCTATCGTCTAAGGGCCCCACCGAGTGACACCGAGGACAACGAGGAGAAAAGTGGAAAGGTCATAGTAGAATAGACGTTCCGGGGAAGTACTCTGTTCGTAGCCGCCCCGCCGGGGTAAATTGGGCCAGCTATAGGCTGGCAGATAAGCCGTGACTTACAATTGGGAATAATTTCCATGATCCAGGACTAAGAAAATATCGAGATTCTGAAACATGACCAACAAAAATAAATACTCCGCTAATACAAATCAGAAAAAAGAACTAATCTAAAATTCGAAACTTCAACATGCAAGATTTCAATAAAATGAAATGATTATCTTATTTCCAAACTCCGAAAAAACGGCTTCCCTTCGTGCAAGCTTTTTCAGTTAATCAGATTGCCACTTTATACTACCGGATTAACACGAACCTCCACCTTTCAAGCAGGTCGAGTTCAACACCACAGCCACTACCGTCGCATAGACATAGATCCTTTTCTCTGCATTCACCAGACGGAAACCCGGAAGGAAGCCAACCCTTCCAATAAGCTGAATTTGCAGACACTCACGGATTGAACCGAAAATCCACCTTGTCCCAAAACCGGTGGAAGGAGTTAATTGAAACATTTAAATATATAATTATTGCCGTCGGATTCCCAGCACAAAAGAGCAAGCATCCTGAAATTAGTCCTGCAAAGAAGAGACGACGATGGTGGCTGTGGCAATAAAAACTTATTGGAAAAGTTTTTCGCGCTTCCACCGTCTGAGCTGGGGTGGGGGAGGCAAAAGAGTTAAGAAGACCGGATTGATTGACTTAATCACTTCGTATTTGCGCTTCTTTGCGTTGCTATAAGACGGAAATGATTTCATTACTCTCGACTCCTCCGGCCGGGTGAGAATCCCGACAGCTGCAAGGGATTTGCCGGCAGAAAGGCTTTCGAAGAATTCCATCTTTTGAGAGAGTCCAAAGTTTGATCGTACGATTAATAGCTTCTTTTCTTTGTTTGCTTCAATAATTTGTCTAATTACCATTTATGTTTTTTTTTTCCGCAGTATCGATAAGTACTGTTTTTCTTTTCTTTGGTTTACCTTCATGTTTGTTTTTGTTTATGTATGTGTTATGCAGTTTTTTTTTTTCAATATCATTTGTTTTTCACAAGAATTACTTTCAGATTATTACATTTGCCTGAAACATTGACGCTTTTAATATGAATTTTGGTTTACTTTTATGCTTTTTGGAACAACGTCTATTTGATTTTCTTTTTATATAACGGTGCCGCTGTAAACAAACGAGTTCTATCAATTGGGACAGTTTTTGAGAAGAAATTATTCATATTCAACAAATATTCGAATTATATCACCTAGAGTATGTACAGAGTAAGAATGTACACGGAGCAAAAATGAGTTTTGCCTCAATTTGCAGTTGTTGTTCCCCTTCCTACAATTCGAACTCATTCGTGTTCCATTTACAAAATTATCAGTCTTTTATTGTTGAATGGGAAATTGATGCAAACCGAACCTGTTTGAAAAAACAACGATTTTAATGAAAATAATAATTTATTCGCTTCCAATCGCGGAAAATGAAGTGTTAAACAAACCCGACTCGGCTTATCTAATTGAGTAAATTTGATTTATGCTGCATTTTTTGCTTCCTCCAATGGCGGTTGGCGGTTCGACCGGGAAGATGGCAACAAAAAAGCGCATAAATTTATGGCACTCGCGCAATTCACGCGGAAAAAACAACGAACTGAAAATGATGAGTACATCGCCGATCGCAGTAGGCGAAAAATGACACATTTGATGCACGAACACGAACGAGGGGTTCCTCGATTGGATTTTTGTTTTGTTTTTGGCACATGGCTGCATTGTTGTTTAATGCAAAACGACAAAGGGAACCATCGAGGGGTTCAAAGCGACTTAAAAATATTGCACATCGTTGTGTTTTGTTGAGTAATTTGAGTAATTTTCCTTTACGTTGCGCTCCTCCAGCAGAGCCCATTCCATTGTTCTTAAAAAATACACAATAGAAAAAGAAAAAAAGGAACAACACGAATTTAACTAGCAGTACTGAGGGCGGCCTTCATGTGCGTAGGCGTCCCGAACGATGACGGACCGCCGCCACCGAGTGACACCGGTAGATTACTGTTATTATTATGGTCGCCTCCGGCGGCCCGCTGTCCCGCCACCAGTTGCGACATCAGGGCGTTTGGATTCTGCGATTGAGCTTGCTGCTGTTGAGCAGCCGTCGGTCCATGACCGATGCCATTCTGGACCGGGTGTGGATGACCTCCGGCTCCACCACCCCCTTGTTGCTGTTGCTGCTGCTGCTGCTGCTGTGGACCCCCCTGGCCGATTTGACGTTTCAACATCGGATGGTTGGCCATCGAGGCAAACACCAACCGTTCCTCGTAGTCGTACTCGCAGAGGATTTTATTCTCGCACAGGTAGAACTTGTCGCCAACGCAGAACCTGGAACGAGAAAATAAAACAGAACAACGGTCAGAATGATTTGAATTGAAGGGAAACATTTCCGACAGGCAACAAAAAGTTATTCCACCGTTGTTCGGGTCGGAATCGATTTCATCGGTTGGATTCCTCCCAGGAGAGCACTTTTACACGTTCAATTTGCGATTGAATGCGCACTAGAAGTTAATAATTCAATAGACATCCGAATGCGCTACATTTGATTTCAACGCCAACGGCGTTGGCAGTCAAGTGTAGCAGGCTATGCTCAGTTTGACGTTTTAAAGTTGTCAAAAAGCGCCTCGAAGATTGATTACACACTCATTTTTCTTCCCGAAAAAAACTTCAATTAAATGCACGGCACCACAAATATGAATGGTATCAAATTCCTAAATCCATAATAAATGTATCCCCCCCCCCCCCTTTGAAAACCATCAATAATGGAACTGGTATTTGCATGCGGACCGTGCTGCGAAATGTAAATGATACGTAATTACTGCCATAACCCTTCCGAACCGCCAGCTTCCTTCTTGTAAACAATAGAAAAACGAGCACAAAGTTAAAATTAAATCCAAGCAAGTCGAGGCAGGCGACGTGGGACGAGGGGTATGAGCGAGTGAACCAATTTACCATTCAGTGAAATCTGTCCCCATAACCGCAAAATATGAATCCCTCCCATCCCTAGTCCCTCAATCGTCGTCCTCGTCATCGTTTATCTTTACACAAACACGAGTTCGCAGTTCCGTGTCAGAGCCGGAACTCGTGGTGCTTCCCTCGGAAATATTAGCATTGTGAAGAACAGGAAAGGGGAACAATCGGAGACGGGTATAATTTATTTGCAAGGATTATAAATCAAATTAAAACAATATTACACTCGCTAGGATAGTTTTCAATCCGGGATGGATTGCGTTCTGCGGAGGGTTTCAGTTGGACTGATTTTGCTTGATTTAAAAAAAATATCATTTCCCTCAAAATTATCGGAAGCACAACTTGGAAGAAGCCTACGGAAGTGCCACGTCCGAAGGCCTAGTTTCGAGGCATCGGGAGCACCTCGTTCAGAGACTGCGGAAGCGTCTCGTCCAGGGACTGCAGAAGCGTCTCGTCCAGAGACTGCGGAAGCGTCTCGTCTAGAGACTGCGGAAGCGTCTCGTTCAGATACTGCACAGGCATCACGTACAGAGACAGCGTATCGAGCAAACACTTCGAAAGCGTCTCGTTTAGAGACTGCGAAAGCATCTTGTTCAGAGACTGCAGAAGCATCTCGTTTAGAGACTTCGGCAGCATCCTGTTCAGAGACTGTGGAAGCGTCTCGTCCAGAGACTGCGGAAGCGTCTCGTTCAGAGATTTCAAAAGCGTCTCGTCCAAAGACTGCGGAAGCGTCTCTTCCAGAGACTGCGAAAGCGTCTCGTACAGAGACTGTGGAAGCGTCTCGTACAGAGACTGTGGAAGCGTCTCGTTCAGATACTGCACAGGCATATCGTTCAGAGACAGCGGAAGCGTATCGACCAAAGACTTCGAAAGCGTCCCGTTGAAAGACTGCGAAAGCGTCTCGTACAGAGACTGCAGAAGCGTCTGGTTCAGAGACTGCATAAGCGTCTAGTTCAGAGACTGCAGAAGCGTCTCATTCAGAGACTGTGGAAGCGTCTCGTTCAGAGACTGCGGAAGCCTCTCGTTAAGAGACTGCGGAAGCATCTCGTTAAGAGACTGCAGAAGCGTCTCATTTAGACTTGCGAAAATGAGTAGTTTAGAGACTTCTAAAATGCCTCATTCAGAGATTGCGAAAGCGTCTCGTACAGAGACTTTGGAATCGTTTGGCCCAGAGACTGCGGAAGCGTCTCGTACAGAGACTGTGCAGTCGTCTCGCCAAGAGACTGCGAAAGCATCTTGTTTAGAGACTGCGACTGTGGATGCGTATCGTCTAGAGACTGCGGGAGCGTCTCGTCTAGAAACTTCGGAAGCTTCTCGTCTAGAACTGTGGAAGCGTCTCGTCTAGAGACTGCGGAAGCAACTTGTTAAGAGACTGCGGAAGCGTCTCGCCCAGAGACTGTGGAAGCGTCTCGTTCAGAGACTTGCGGACTTCTAAAATGTCTCATTCAGAGATTGCGAAAGCGTCTCGTACAGAGACTTTGGAATCGTTTGGCCCAGAGACTGCGGAAGTGTCTCGTACAGAGACTGTGCAAGCGTCTCGCCAAGAGACTGCGAAAGCATCTTGTTTAGAGACTGCGACTGTGGATGCGTCTCGTCTAGAGACTGCGGGAGCGTCTCGTCTAGAAACTGCGGAAGCTTCTCGTCTAGAAACTGTGGAAGCGTCTCGTCTAGAGACTGCGGAAGCAACTCGTTAAGAGACTGCGGAAGCGTCTCGCCCAGAGACTGTGGAAGCGTCTCGTTCAGAGACTTCGGAAGCGTCTCGTCTAGAAACTGTGGAAGCGTCTCGTCTAGAGACTGCGGAAGCGTCTCGTCCAGAGACTGCGAAAGCGTCTCGTCCAGAGGCTGCGAAAGCGTCTCGTCCAGAGGCTGCGAAAGCGTCTCGTTCAGAGACTGCGGAAGCATCTCGTTAAGAGACTGCGAAAGCGTCTCATTTAGACTTGCGAAAATGAGTTGTTTAGAGACTTCTAAAATGTCTCATTCAGAGATTGCGAAAGCGTCTCGTACAGAGACTTTGGAATCGTTTGACCCAGAGACTTTGGAAGCGTCTCGTACAGAGACTGTGCAATCGACTCGCCCAGAGACTGCGAAAGCATCTTGTTTAGAGACTGCGACTGCGGAAGCGTCTCGTCTAGAAACTGTGGAAGCGTCTCATCTAGAGACTGCGGAAGCGTCTCGTCCAGAGGCTGCGGAAGCGTCTCGTCCAGAGACTGCGGAAGCGTCTCGTCCAGAGACTGCGAAAGCGGCTCGTCCAGACACTGCGGAAGCGTCTCGTTCAGAGACTGCGGAAGCATCCCGTTAAGAGACTGCGGAAGCGTCTTATTTAGACTTGCGAAAATGAGTTGTTAGAGACTTCTAAAATGTCTCATTCAGAGATTGCGAAAACGTCTCGTCCAGATACTGCAGAAGCGTCTCGTCCAGTGACTGCGGAAGCGTCTCGTCCTGAGACTGCGGAAGCGTCTCGTCCAGAGACTGCGGAAGCGTCTTGTCAAGAGACTGCGGAAGCGTCTCGTCAAGAGACTGCGGAAGCGTCTCGTCCAGAGACTGTGGAAGCGTCTCGTCCAGAGACTGCGGAAGTGTCTCGTCCAGAGACTGTGGAAGCGTCTCGTCCAGAGACTTCGGAAGCGTCTTGTCCAGAGACTGCGGAAGCGTCTCGTCCAGAGACTGCGGAAGCGTCTCGTTCAGAGACTTCAGGAGCATCATGTTCAGAGACTTCAGGAGCATCATGTTCTGAGACTGCGAAAGCGTCTCGTCCGGAGACTGTGCAAGTGTCTTGTTCAGAGACTGTGGAATCGTATCGCCCAGAACCTGTGGAAGCGTCTCGTACAGAGACTGTGGAATCGTCTCGCCCAGAGACTGCGAAAGCATCTCGTTCAGAGACTTCAGGTGCATCATGTTCTGAGACTGCGAAAGCGTCTCGTCCAGAGACTGTGCAAGTGTTTTGTCCATAGACTGCGGGAGCGTCTCGTATAGAGACTGTGGAATCGTCTCGTCCAGAGGCTGCGAAAGCATCTCGTCCAGAGACTACGGAAGCTTCTCGTTCGGACTTTGAAAGCGTCTCGTTGAAAGACTGCGAAAGCGTCTCGTTCAGAGACTGCAGAAGCGTCTAGTTCAGAAACTGCAGATGCGTCTAGTTCAGAGACTGTTGAAGCGTCACGCTCAGAGACTACGGAAGCATCTCGTACAGAGACTGCGGAAGCGTCTAATTTAGACTTGCGAAAATGAGTTGTTTAGAGACTTCTAAAATGTCTCATTCAGAGACTGCGAAAGCGTCTCGTACAGAGACTTTGGAATCGTTTTGCCCAGAGACTGCGGAAGCATCTCGTACAGAGACTGCGGAAGCGTCTCGTACAGAGACTGCGGAAGCGTCTCGTACAGAGACTGCGGAAGCGTCTCGTACAGAGACTGCGGAAGCGTCTCGTACAGAGACTGTGGAAGCGTCTCGTACAGAGACTGCGGAAGCGTCTCGTACAGAGACTGCGGAAGCGTCTCGTACAGAGACTGCGGAAGCGTCTCATTCAGATACTGCGGAAGCGTCTCGTACAGACTGTGGAATCTTGTTGCCCAGAGACTGCAGAATCGTCTCGTTCAGAGACTGCGGAAGCGTCTCGTCCAGAGACTGCGGAAGCGTCTCGTCCAGAGACTGCAGAAGCGTCTCGTCCAGCGACTGCGAAAGCGTCTCGTCCAGAGACTGCGGAAGCGTCTCGTCCAGAGACTGCGGAAGCGTCTCGTCCAGAGACTGCGGAAGCGTCTCGTCCAGAGACTGCGGAAGCGTCTCGTCCAGAGACTGCGGAAGCGTCTCGTCCAGAGACTGCGTAATTCCAGAGACTGTGGGAGCGTCTCGTCCAGAGACTGCGGAAGCGTCTCGTACAGAGACTGTGGAATCGTCTCGTTAAAAGACTTCGAAAGCGTCTCGTTGAAAGACTGCGAAAGCGTCTCGTTCAGAGACTGCAGAAGTGTCTAGTTCAGAGACTACACAAGCATCTCGTTAAGATACTGCGTCTTATTAAGACTTGCGAAAATGAGTTGGTTAGAGACTTCTAAAATGTCTCGTTCAGAAATTGCAAAAGCTTCTCGTTTATAGATTGTGAAAGCGTCTCAATCAGAGACTGTGAAAGCGTCTCATTCAAACACTTGTTAAAGGCTGTTGAAGTCAAATATTCTGAATATGTTTCTTTTATAGTCTGTGTAAGTACTTCGTTCAGAGGCTGCGGATGCTCCTCAGTCAAAGGCTGAAGAAGCGTCCCATCCAGAGGTTGTTAAAAGGGCTTAAAAATGCCTGGTTTAGAGGCAGCAGATGCACCTTTAATAGAGGCTGCAGAATACACAAAAGCACTTAATTTAGAAGCTGCAGAAATGCC